TAGGAGGGCAAATTATTCAAACTGTGAAATATGCAGATGACCTTGTGTTAATGGCTAAGGAAGAAACTGTGCTACAGGGCATGATTGATAGACTAATTGAAATTGGAAGGTGCTATGGCATGGAAATGAATGTGGAGAAAACAAAAGTAATGAAAATTTCGAGACAACCAACCCCAGCCACAATAAAGATAGCCAAAAACAACTGGAGAATGTGAAATGTTTTAAATATTTGGGTAGCTTGTTAACAGATGATGGAAGGTGTACTAGTGAAATTAAATCCAGGATTGCCATGGCAAAAGCTGCATTTCGCAAGAAGAAGAATCTTTTTACCAGCAAATTGGACTTAAATTTGAGGAAGAAACTGGTGAAATGCTACATTTGGAAAGTTTCAAAATGTGGTGTTGGAGACGGATGGAGAATATCAGTTGGACCGATTATGTGAGAAATAAAGAAGTGTTAATTAGAGTCAGTTAGCAGAGGAATATCCTACATGAAATAAGAAAACGGAAGGCTAATTGGATAGGTCATATCTTACGCAGAAACTGCCTTCTAAAAGAAGCTATTGAAGGAAAGCTAGAGGGGCGGATAGAAGTGACAAGAAGACAAGGAAGGAGACGTAAGAAGATGCTGGATGACCTTGGGGACAGAAGAGGATACTGTCATTTGAAGGAGAAAGCTCTAGATCGCATTAAGTGGAGGAACTGTTTTGGAAGAGACTGCGGACCTGTCGTCTGACAGATTACTGATGATGATGATGATTCAAGTATAAAGTGATATTTACATAGGGACATATATCATATAATTTATTTGGAGAGGTCAGAAGAAAACAAAAGTGAAAAAGTAGATGAAAAGAGAAAGGCTGTCAATTTTAGTGAAAATGGAACCACCTGAAATTTCACATGTATGAATTCAAGGAAACATGTCACCATCAATCTGATATGAGAACATACAATTTGCTACTAATTTCTGGTAATTTGTGTGGGGTGGAGTGGCTATAATGTGAACATAGGTAAAGTTTTCCCTTTGCGTAATTAATCAAGCCCTACGCCGTGAAGGTGCATGGGGTAGTAGATGTGTAGATCCACATTTTCTTGACCTCGGCACTAGCTGGAGGTGAGTGGCCAACTTCACACCCCGGTGAAAGAGCCACCAGTACCCATTGGATACGAGGTTGGGTGGACCCCAGAGCCGGTCTGGATGACGTGGAGATGAGAAAATTCTTGACTCTACCAGGACACGAACTGCCACCTCTCAGTCACTCAGCCCATAGCCAGTCGCTATACTGACTACGATATCAAAGCTCCTAAAATGTGGACATGAATTTAATTCTTCAACTATAAAGACATTATCACAGAGAAATCACTTGTAGCATTGTAAGCATTTAGAAAGGCTCTCAGTATCAGTGCTACATAGCACCAGTACACCTTCAGTGTTTGGCGATAAATTTCATTACTGAAGCTGGTAAGATGATGAAATGGTCTTTTCAATCAAGCTTCAGCAAACAGGCTGAGTTAGAGGGTAAGTTACAGAGTGTTTCAGGGGAACATTGCATTTAGTAAATGAATCAGATACAATTCATGTCACCCCTTTCTTCCCCTTCAAGTCTAAATGGTGAAACTTAATGTAGTGTGGTATTTTTATTTATATATAAAGTAAAATTATTCTTATTGTTTCCTTGCATACAGTAGTATCCATTTATATCTTTTGCCACCTCTAGCTGGGATAGCAACTGGCTATGGGCTAGATGACAGAGGGGTTGGAGTTTGAGTCCAGGTAGGGTCAAGAATTTTCTCTTCTCCATGTCGTCCAGACCGGCTCTGGGGGCCACCCAGCCTCCTATCCAATGGGTACCGGGGGCTGTTGGGGTTAAAGCAGCCGGTGTGTGAAGCTGACCACTCACCTCCATGTAGTTCCAAAGTTATGAATAGTGCAGCTATACCTCCACTCCCCCATACACATTCATGGCATAGTACTTAATTAGTTAAGCACAGGGACAGCTTTACCTTTACCTTACCTCTAGAAATATCTGAATTACAACAGTGGACTTCATGAAGCAATTACAGCTGACATTCACTCACCGTACACCAAGTCCTGTGTAGGAAAGAAGGAACCCTTCTGCACTCAATGAAAGTGCCGAACTGCTAGAAGTTCCAGGTTGCTGAAAGATCATTAAAAGCACCATCTTAGAAAAAGGCTACCCACATAAACAATCTAAGATCTGTATGACTGCTTCATATACTGTTATCTACTTGAATAATTTACACACCTTTAATTCTATACAAGAAATTTTGACAAAGAAATAAAATACTGTATTTTAACCAGCTACTTCTGACAGCAAACATTTGGTTATATGAATGTATGTGAGTACACATAATTAATCATGCAATCTGCATCTTCATGTACTGCTCCCCCCCCCTTCCATCTCCTCCAAGTACAAATATCAGCTTGAACAGACAAATGTTGAAGTTTCTGAAATCATGCAAGTGAGCCTTGCACTTAACCAACTCATGAAACATGGGGGTGGGCAGGTAGCTGTGCACAGATGGTTATGGCAGCGGGAAGAAGGGCGAGGCACACTTGCACTAAGGAGGAACTCAGAATCAGTGGTGCTGTGTAGATGGCTAGCATAATCATCATATCTTAAAAGCCTATTTTACAAATGATGTTAGTACAAAAGACTGCTAAATTACAGTTGAAATAAACATTGGATTCTTGGTCACATTTATGTCTCATGCTTGGCTGGCAACTTGCAGCTCCAAATGTAGGCCACTAACTACTATGATTTACTTTAACCCTGAACTGAAGGAGACATATACGTAGCAGTCATTAAGTTTGTGGAACGTGGTTTTATCACATCATATTACAAGGTATTCACATACGCTTACACAGATCCACATCAGCCCTCAAAATAGTTGCCGTTGGCCGCTATGCAAGTCTGTCAACATTGATATAGCCGCCAAAAACATTACTGAAACTTATTGGCAAGAAATTCCCATACGGTGTCTCTTGTGGCAATGACCACCTCCTTGGACGACTGAAATCTACGACCACGTAGCTTTGCTTTCAAGTGATGAAAGAGAAACAAATCGCGTGGTGCAAGATCAGCTGAGTATGGAGGGTGTGGCAAAACGGTGACCTGTTGCCTTGTCAGTTCCTCTTGGACAAGAACAGAGCGATGTGCAGGGGCGTTGTCGTGTAGCAACAGCCAATTTTCCTACGCCAAATGTTTCGCTAGGGGATTTGCCTAGTTTTTGGTAGAACTTGATGTTTGCCCATTGTTCAAACTGCCACATTTTTTATTTCCGCCACTTGCATTTAACTGCAATTTGCAATAGAGGTCATAGTTCTATTTACACTGTTTGCACACAACTGCATCTTGCTGTGACGAGAGATGAACTGACAGGGCATCATATCATGCCTCAACCTATCCGCTGTAGTGAGCTACGACGACGCTTTGCAGCCATTCCACAAACTTACTGACTGTGGTAATATTTTCATTGAATGTAATAAAATGCAGAAGAGTAGATGCTGGCTTGAATGTACTTAACTGTTTCACTAGGTATGACAGAACATTTCATCATCATCAAATGGAAAAATCTTGGGTATGACATACCATTATGTAATCTTATTTAAATGGCCTACAGCTCCTAAGTATGATGAGATACAGAGCTGGCACTTTCACCATTATGAAAGATGTAATTTTATTGTCTAGATGGCAGAATTATACAAGACACATAGCATATTACCTGCCACCCCTCCAACGTTTCTACAGTGCATTTGCTCTGGCAGCAGGCTGCAATTACTTGAGTTTTCATAAAATGGCGCCGAACAGTTTAAAGTACAAGCACATAAATAATGATATCTTCTGGACTTTCAAAATCATGGAAGTATAACGCACATACAGTAAAGTATTGTGGCGTGGTGCCTAAAAGCCGGATTATATGACATCCACTGCTATGCAACAGCTACAATAAGAACACATACTTCAGTGGCAACAAATGCGTAAGCAGACTGCCACCTAGGAAATTGTTCAAGTAACAGAGACAGAACTGTTGAGTTCCCACAGCAGCAGATATGCTAGCCAATGCTGAGTCGAAGGTGTTCTCTTGGCAGTAAGCAAAGACCTACTTTAAGATCAGATCCAAGGAGATGGGAATTGAGATAAGATCAGACAAGGGAGGAGATCAAAGGAGTGATCAGAGAGAGAAGCAAGAGGAGAACCAACATAGTTACAAGGAACTTTAGAGTGTGATCACTGTTGCAGTTACGAAGTGTTATAATTATCGCGTGTGATAATTGTCTGTAGTTCTGCCTGGCGTAATTTTACAATAAACAGCTTCATCTAAAGCCGCAACCCAGTAATTATTTGTCATGGATACCCGGACATATGACAGTATGTAGAGTTTGCATGGCTGAAAAGAAAAGTTACCCAGGGCATGTTACCCTACAGCAGAAAAAACTTCACAGGCAAGTGGTTAATCAAGTGGAAAATACATTACACACTATGCCAGTGCACCTATTAATACGGAATCTTTCTTGAGGCACTGAACTGCATGATTTTTACCGTCAGCCTCTCACCCAGAACCCAAACCACTGTCTACTGAGAGAAAGCCTGGAGTCATGGCTAATATGATATACTTTGCAAACATGAATGTGTATTTTTTAAAGTAAACACACTGTTGCAAATAACTCGCCACGAGACTAGATGTTCAAAATATCTCCCTTCAGCTCTTAAACAAACTCCGGGTCTCCTGAAGATACTAGTTGCAGTTCACTGACCTTGATGGACATAATTCTTCACAGATGTTGTGCTTCAGTTCATCCAACGTGTGGGGATTATTTGAATGCACTTTGTTTTTTAGGTTTCCCCACTAACAGAAATCATTGGGATTTACTTTGCAGACCAAAATCTGTGACACATCAGTCTGTCTTCAAGCATCTCATTGAACGCATTAATGCAATAATTTGCAGTCTGCTGGGGAAACATCTTGCACTAAATAATAGTATAGCTTTGCCTCTTCTCTAATTGTCTAAAAATAAGGGGCAAAAAAGTCTCCGACATACTCTTCGGATTTAATGCTGTGGCGTACAGACCTACTGCTGGGCAGTGACAGTGAAACAAATAAGACATCAGCCTTTGCTAGGCAGCAGTCAGCATGCCAATGGTTTCACACACAACAATGGATACAGTATCAGAGGAATGGTATTTTCTGTGTGGTCCATACCTAGATGTTATAAGCAGGACAAATACTGACTGCTGTTCAATTCAGTTGAGTGAAGCGCAGGAAAATGAAGAGTTGGTTGGTAAGTTAGAGAACTGAGGTTCAGCTGTTAAAAGTTTGTAGCTGAGACACACGGATAGTTCAGGAACCCAGAATAAGGGGAATGTCTAATACTGAAGCCGTTACCAGGCAATGACTGGTGAAGACACTGCAGGCTGGAAAAGACTTAATGTGCACTGTGTAAACTGCAGAGTCTGAGAATTTGCGATAGTACTACAGTTACGATCTGTGATCAGTAAATTTAATTACCAATCCAAACCCCATACACATGAGAATACTCTTATTCAAATAATATGGGTCATACTATTCATGCAGCAGTAATGGTACACCATCACTCACTCACTCACTCACTGATGGAGCTGAGCCCTTCTTGAGAAGCTGCCAATCGTGCAGCTACTCAAGAATTTCCCAGCATTTTATGGAACCTGAAGGCTTATTACTGTGTTCACAAGAGCTCTCCATAGGTCCCTATTCTGAGCCAGATCAATCCAATCCATACCATCCCATCCTATCTCTCTAAGATCCATTTTAATACTGTTCACCTACCTATGTCTTGGTCTTACCAGTGGTCTCTTTCCTTCTGGCTTTCCCACCAATATGCTATATGCATTCCTCTTCTCTCCCATTCATGCTACATGCACTGTCCACCTCATCCACCTTGACTTGATCATTCTAATTATACTTGGAAAAGACTACAAGTTATGAAGCTCCTCATTATGCAGTTTTCTCTAACCTCCTGTCACTTCATCTTTCTTTGGTCCAAATATTCTCAACACCCTCAGTGTATGCTCCTCTGTTGAAGACAGAGACCAAGTTTCACACCCACATAGAACCACAGGCAAAAATAGAGTTTATTCTAATTTTTATGTTTTTAGACAGCAGACGAAAAGGCACAACATTCTGAACTGAATGGTAGCAAGCAGTATCCAAGTAAAATCTCCTCTTAATCTCCTCCTGAATCCAGTTTTGATTTCTTATAGTTGTTCCCAAATATCTGAACTGTGCCACATTTTCAAAACATCTGTTAGCTATCTTCATGTCATGATTTTGTCCTGCATTTTGGTGACAATATAGCAACATATACAGTAGAACTTGGTTATAACGTCATCAAAGGGACCTAAAAATAGTGTCGTTATAAATGAACGTCGTTGTAACCGAAATGGGCACTTCCACAGTAGCCTTATGTTAGTCACGTAAAAATCTACCAAAAACCGAGTTAAAATGTTGCATTTTTTAGTGAAATACGTAGTTAAGTACAGACTAACGTAACATTAACGTGGAATTGCCCAAATGTGTAATATCAAAGACATATTACAGCGCTTTTCACTGACAATACACACAATATTTCACGAATCACTTAAACTTTCTCTTCAATGCTTAAAACTTTCCTTTTCATTGCCATGTTTTCGCTACTGCACTTCTCTGGGTTTAGGCAGGAACACTATAGGGTAAGTAGACAATGTGAGGTCCTGTTAGACGAGATTCTAGGAAAGGAATGCAGTTAACAACCTGCCTCGTCCTCTTGCACTATTCACGCAGTCCCACCCCACACCCTTGTTTTCGCATAAAACCCACGCTCCTCTTGCAGCCCGCAGTCGTATTCTTCCAGGACAGTCACGTCAGCAAGTAGAGAAAGTGAGGGTGGGCAGACACATCGAACTTTCCCACGATATCAGAGAAATTCAGGAATGAAAATGACGTTACATACGAGGTTGCTGCATTTGTGCATGTCGTACTAAGCAAGGTATAAAAACAGTTGCTTTATGAGGAATTAGTTCGTACCATTGAATATTTGACGCAATAGACAAGGTGTCGCAGAAACCGATGTTGCTATAACCAAGTTTTACTGTACTTAGTTTTCTTTCCAATGCAATAA